AGCAAAGACTGCCTAATGGGAAGACCCTCCCTTGGAGAGAAAAAAAAAATGAGGCTGGACACGGGATGAGCATCCCTCCCAGGAGACAGGATGAAATGAGTGCTGCATCTTTCTGCAGACTCCCTTCAGTATTTACCTTCACCAGCCAAAACCCAGATGAACCCTTCACAGTTTACCTTGCCTTTGCAGCTTTTGGAGACACTTACGCTGGCAGAGCACGAAGCCAAAGTATTTTACAGGTATCAGTTGAGCCTTTCACTCATTACAGAAGTAACATTACAACAGAAGTAACTTGAGAGAGATGAAAAACTGTCTACTGATGAATGTAACTAAGAACTTGCTCCACAAAGTTCTAGGACCTCCCAGAAAGCGCTCTGTATCCTGCCTGCTCTGTTATGTACTGGGCTGATGCAGAGGAGGTGGTTGTTATGACTGATTTTGTCTGGCTCAGTCTCTGCATGAGAAATCTGGGGACTCTTTCTATACTGGCCAGTAGTTCTGCTGAGACAGAAACTGCAATACTCAGACTGTTCACTTAGAAAGGGTTGCAGAAGTTTGAAGAAGCTGAAGGAATCAAAAATTAATTAGACTTCTTAAAGATGTTCTGTATGTGTGGTAAAATAATTAAAGATCAAAGGGGTATCTCTACTGGAAAATATTAGTTTAAAAGATTCACATCCTATTTCCCCTCTTGTGTTTAGCAATGGCTAACATCTAGGAGGCGTGTGATACCCACATGATAAACAAAGTCCCAGTTAGTGTCATTAAAAAAAGCCTGCAAGGCATCTGTTAAACAAAAGCCCAGTGAAATCATGTTGCTTTACAGCAGAAGGAAAGTCTCATGAGCTGCAGCATAACAGAGATAGAAATTAAAACAGGAAGTGACCTAATAAAATAATCACCACTGGAAGCAATTTAAGAGGGGTAAAATGTAAAGCTTGTTTTTCTCAAAAGCCAGTGGCTGGAATTAAAGAAATTTCCTTAATAACACAGAATCACAGAATGGTTGCAGTTGGAAGAGACCTCTGGAGGTCATCTGGTCCAACTCCCTGCTCAAGCAGGGTCACCTACAGCCAGCTGTTCAGGACCATGTCCAGATAATTTTTTAATATCTCCAAGGATGGAGATCATCCAGATCATTAATGCAGATGTTAAACAGGACTGGTCCCAGTATTGACCCCTAGGGTACACTACTAGTTACTGGCCTCCAACTAGACTTCGTGATGCTGATCACCACCTTCTGGGCCTGGCCATTCAGTCAGTTATCAATCCACATCACTGACAGCTTACCCAGCCCATACATCTACAGCATGTCTACAAGGATCTTATGGGAGACAGTGTCAAAGGCCTTACTGAAGTCCAGGTAGACAATATCCACTGCCCTTCCCTCGTCTACCAGGCCAGTCATTTCATTGTACAAGTTCATCAAGGCGGTCAAGCATGACTTCCCCTTGATGAAGCCATGATGACTACTCCTGATGATTTTCTTGTCCTTACTGTGCCTGAAAATGGTTTGCAGGATTAGCTGCTCCATCACATTGCCAGGGATCAAGGTGAGGCTGACCAGCTTGTAATTGCCTGGACCCACCTCCTTGCCCTTCTTGAAAATAGGAGTGACATTTGCTTTCCTCCAGCCTTCAGGCACTGCTCTCAGTCACCATGATTGATCAAAGATTATCGAGAGTGGCCTTGCAATGACATCTGCCAGCTTCCTCAGCACTCCTGGGTGCATCCTATCAGGGCCCGTGGACTTACGGTCCAGTTTGCTTAAGTATTCCCTGACCTGATCTTCTTCCACCAAGGGTACATCTTCCTTGTTCCAGCCTTTCCCCCTGGTCTCTCGGACCTGGGATTCCTAAAGGTCAGTCTTGCTAGTAAAGACTGAGGCAATTAGGCATTCAGTACTTGAGCCTTTTCCAGGTCCTGTGTAACCAGGACCCATGTTTCATTGAACAATGGGCCCACATTTTCCCTAGTCTTCCTTTTGTCTCCTGTGTACTTACAGAAGCCCCTCTTGTTGTCTTTGACATCCATGGCCATTTGGGCTTTAGCTTTCCTAACTTCGTCCCTGGATGCTCAGACAATGTTTCTGTATTCCTCCCAGGTTACCTGTTCTTGCTTCCAGCCTCTCTGTATGCTTCCTTTCTGTGTTTGAGTTTGGCTAGGAGCTCTTTGTTCATCCACACAGGCCTCCTGGCATTTTTGCTTGACTTCATATTCATTGGGATGGAACACTCTTGAGCTTGGAGGAGGTGATCCTTGAATATTAACCAGCTTTCTTGGGCCCCCCTTCCCTCCAGGGCCAACACAATGGAGTCATTTTTATTAAAACTTCCAAATCACAAAAGGCTAGAATGACTTTAGGGCCAAGAATCAGCAGGAAGTAAAGTGCTTCAATGGGAATCTTTTCAGGCTAAATCCCAGAAGTCCAAGAATGGTAACAGTGCTTTGCTTTGAAATTCTCCAAGAGTGGTTCCTGATCAGGGGCTCACTTAGTCCCAGGTACATGTATGAACAACTTACAAAACCCCAGACAGGAATTATTCTAATGCTGATATGCAGATAGAGCCATGCCATATTACTGTACCAGTGAGCCAGCTGCTTATGTTACAGCAATGAGTTCAAACCAAGCTCCAGGTATCATAACATTTCTCTGTTTCCGACTGAGCTGAGCATTGCATCTCACACCCATCAGCGCACACAAGTCATCCACAGACCATAGTGAGAGTGAGATGCACCCAGCTACAACACTAGCAAGAAAGCAAAGCAGAGTGCTGCAAAATGTAAAGCATTCCTTGTAGAGCAATGAGATTGTTTCACTGTGTTGTAAGCAGACTTCACATAAACTCTGCCAGCAAGTGGCTTGCTTCCATAGGTCTTGAAGTCAGCAGCTACCTTCAGTTGCAGAAAACATTTTCTCTAGGTACTTCTTCACTTTTGTTCCTCATGGCTCACAAAGTAGAGCACAGCCTCCCAAGGAGCAGGAAAAAACACACCTTTCATTGCCAAACAGACTCTTGGCCCTGACCTCTATGTCAAAGGAGCAGGAAAGGACAGTGATGCCAAGGTTGGCTCTGAATGGTTACTATAGCTTGAAATGTCCTTAAAAGTTACAATCCATCCAGTTTCAGCGTATCAGAAACACTTAATCCAACCTGGGGTATATCAGAGCAATAGCATATCCCCAGTTGGGTATTAAAGGGGTTATAATTTGATTTTCTGGCTCCTGTGACTAAATTGCTGCAGCTTTGCTCTTGTGGTCCAGAAATCCTAGGGAGCCTTTAATGAAATTACAGCTTGTTATAACTTGAAGGGTGCACTTTACTCTCTAGATAATGGTGTAATGCAATAATATGATGAAAAATAATGTACTTTCATTTGCAAAGTGCTCTATCTCTTGTAAGTGCTCCAATCCAGCTGAGGAAGTTAATAAAAGTAATTAATGCAAATAGTAATAAAAATGTAGCCTTTCCATGTGGCATTTCCAAGCAAGTCAGCCTCATATCATTGCTCTTGAGCTAGATAAATATGATCAACCCCCTCTGCAGATGGAGATGCTGTATTAAAACAGATGATGTTGAGCTGAAGGTAAGTTTGAGCCTTTCACAAACACTGATGCCTGTGGCTTATGGATGTGCAAAGTATCATCCACTTGCCATTCACTAAAAAAGCAGAGAGGATATCAAATAACCAGCTAAGTACTTAAGAAAACTTGTGGAATTTTTCAAGAAAGTTTTTCTGTGTCCTTTCCATTAGAGGATGACGACAGAGCAATGAGTTACTGGGCTACTTTCTCTGCTGGTGTGTTTCTCTGGCTTCAATAGAATTATAACAATAAACCAATGGACTGTTAGGCTCAAATCACTATTGGCCCCACAGAATAAGGACGACAGTTCATTTCTGCGTTATCACATTCTCTTCCAGATCAGTAGGAATGAGGGAGGGGAGGAGACAAAGGAAACCTTCTCTTAATGTGTGCATGCTTACCCTCTATTCTTAATGCTGGTGAAGCGCTGCTCAATTTTGTCAGGCCAGTAGCTTTACAAACAGTTTCCTGAATGGCTCACCTCATTCTCTAGATAATGGTGTAATGTAACAATATGGTGAAAAGTAATGCACTTTGATTTTCAAAGTGCTCTGCCTCCTGTGAGCAATCAAGACCTACATTAAAGCTCCTACACTGAAAGTAAAATCACTAATATCAATGATTAAAAATACAGATCCACTCTCTGTCTGATGCTCAGCAAGCAAACATTGTAGCTATTGCAAATGAAACCACCAGTATTAGTAAGTTCTGATGCTGGAATAGCAAAATCTTAAGCTCTACTCATCAATTTAAAAAAGTCCTTTTGTTACCCCAAAAGGCCCTGTTTGGGGCCATCTCCAGATTCAGTAGCTAAGCAAAGTAAAGGCAAGACTCCCATAGATATTGACACCAACCAAATAGGGACTGGGGATATGTGAGCGACCATTTCACAAGGCAAAGATGGCCTGCAAATGTCCCAAACCACTTTCCCACAAGCAGAGCTCAGGCAGTGTGTAACAGGGTTGGCACATTTCAAGGGATGGGGAAGGAAGGAGAACAGCAAAACACATTTGGTACAAGGTAATGGCTCTGGAGTACGTAGGTAGCATTGTTTGGGGAAACAGGTGATAAAAGCCCGAGTATTGGGCTAATAACAAGGAAGGGATGCTCTGAAGGGATTAATACCCATCATAAAAAGCAATGAAAATTAGTAACATTCCCTATCCTCTAAGACATGGAGGAAATGTACTGCTCTTGCATACTTTCAGGGAATGTTTTCCCTGTAACAGTCCTGGTACCAAAAGACCAATGGGGGTCTATGGGGTTGGACCATATCTCTTCCTGACTTCCTTTTTGGGATGAAGGCTCTGTTGGTAGCACTAAGAGAAAGACTGCTCCATGCTTCCAACACTACATAGGAGAGGGCAAGAGTGGTTTTTCCTGTTAATCTTCGTCTGGTTTAAAGACTCGTCACCTCGTTTTTCAGTCTTCTGGAGCAATGGCAGGTATGCAGACTGGCATGTTAGGGAGGCAATGCTGGCACCTTGGCAGGTTTGTCTTCCCAGACTTCTCCTTGGTGAATTCCTTGTACCTGCAAGCAAGTGGCAGAAGATAAAGGAGCCTGCTCAACTGGGAATCCCCAGCTTAGCTGCTATCTGCTCTGTTCAGTTTGAAAAAAAGCAACTGAGCATAATTAATGCTTGTGCTGTACTTTTTCCCTTGGTATCCAATCACAATCTCTGCACATAGTGTGGAAGCTGCTAAATGTAACAGGACTTTCTCAGCTAATCACTGAGACCATGAACAATGTACACAGGTTACCATCTTCTGTCCTGCAGCCACCTCCACTCTTTATTGCCATGGCTACCCACACGGCAAGGACAGCTGACCTGCAAATAATACAGCTACTGCATTGCCATCATTTTCAGCACAGTGCAATGTAACAAGTCTGATAAATCCAAATGTGCCAGCACCACATTTTCCAGTTCAGGTTGATCTGCCTCAAACTGAGATAGGGCTGGTACATTAATTCACACTAAGACCATGAAACAAAGATCTTACCTGCTACTTCTACACATTAATGAAATGATGGCATTGCTGTACGATTAGAAGTTAGGCTCGAGCAGCTAGGCTAAAATTTGTGCCTCATGCTGTTTTACAGAATACCATTGAAGAGTACAGGGATCTCGTTGAAGAGTACAGGGATCTCGTTAGGTCGTGCAGAGAAGAAATGAGAAAGGCAAAAGCCCAGCTAGAACACAATCTGGCCACTGTCGTTAAAGACAACAAAAAAAGCTTTTACAAATATATTAATGACAAGAAGAGAGCCAAGGAGAATCTCCATCCTTTATTGGATGCAGGGGGGAACATTGTCACCGAGGATGAGGAAAAGGCTGAG